ATCTTACTATGGCCTAGGCCCCTCCTTCTTTTCTAGCAGCTGCTGTCCACATCCTAGCACCTGTTCTTGGGATGGGACTGAGAAGATCTCATCCACACCCGGGTTCCCTGCAGCTAGGCCCCGACTCCTGTCTTCTTGAAGCCAGTAATCCTTACCCAAAAGTTCGGCCCTCATGGGCCCTAGGCCCTACTCTGGGGTCTTCAAGACTTCGCCACAACCCAGGCTCCCCTGGAAACACAGAGGACACTCTCACCCTCACCCCTAAGCTTCCCCAGAAATCCAGCCCCTTTCTGCAGGACGTAGGGATCCCGGCTCCCAGCTTCCCTCAGACCCAGAAATCCAGGCCCCCAGCCCTCGCCTCCCTCAGACCCAGCAATCTGAACTCCCAGCCCTCCCAGCCCTGAAGGCTCTCTGGGGTGGTTGCGGAACCTTGCTGAGCTCTGTGTTCCTCCAGGCCCAGATGGGGGAACCCCGGGCTGGGGCCCCCCTGGACGATGGCAGTGGCTGGACAGGAAGTGAGGAAGGAAGTGAGGAGGGCACCGGCGGCAGCGAGGGGGCTGGGGGAGATGGGGGCCCAGACGCAGAAGGCGTGTGGAGTCCAGACATCGAGCAGAGCTTCCAGGAGGCCCTGGCGATCTACCCACCATGTGGCCGGCGGAAAATCATCCTGTCTGATGAAGGCAAGATGTATGGTGAGTCCACCCCTCTGTTTTGTCCTTGGCCCCCACTGACTAATACAGATCATGACCAACATTTCTGGAGCCTTAAATGGCGTTAAGGTCCAAGCACATTGTATGCTCACAGGGACTCAGGCAGGAGCCGGCATCGCGATTTGCACAAAGGAGGAAACTGAGGCACAGAAAGGTTCAGTGATTTGCCGAAGGTCACAGAACCAGTAGGCGGAGAAGCTGGGATTTGAACCCAGGCGGGTCTGGCTCCAAAGCCTGAGGCGGTAACGCCTCTTCCACACAGCCGTCCCAGCTGGCAGCCATTGCTTCTGTCCCCTTCCCTGGTGCCCTGTTTGTTGGGAAGTCCCGCGAAGGTCTAACTCTGTCCCATCTTTGACTCTTCAGGTCGGAATGAACTGATTGCCCGCTACATCAAGCTGAGAACAGGGAAGACCCGAACCCGCAAACAGGTCTCAGGACTGACTTGTGGGCTTCTCTCTGGGGCGGGCTTGTCTTCTTGGGGCCATCCGACCATGGGTGGGTTCAGGTTCGAGAAGGATCTGGTTCGTGTGCTTTTGTCTGTCTTGGCTGGCACCTCTGTTAGTTTGCTGTACTGTGCCTATTTTGGTATGGATTTCTTCCCAGTGTGTTAGAGAGGGAGCTGGACCAGATTTGCTGGGTCTGGGGAAGATGAGTAGGGTTAATGAGAAGAGACCAGCCTCTGTGGACACATCTGTGTCAGCAAGCACCTGCCACAGCTACCGTGTTCTGTGTGTTTGTCATCTTTCATGTTCTGGTAGCTCCGGGGGGCACCCGGAGGGTGGGAAGGGAGAGGGCCTGCAAGAGGCAAGTGGCGGTGGCCTGAGTCCACTTCTTTGTCACTCCCCGCAGGTCTCTAGCCACATCCAGGTTCTGGCTCGAAGGAAATCAAGGGAAATCCAGTCCAAGCTCAAGGTATAGACTAAGGCAGACACCCAGAGCGAAGGGGACTGAGACCCTGAGAGAGGGGGACAGAAACCCAGAGAGAGGGGGGACAGAGACCAAGGGAGGGGGGGCAGAGACCCAGAGAATGGGGGACAGAGGATCAGAAAGAGGGGACCCAGAGAGAAAGAGAAAGAGGGACAGAGGTTCAGAGAGAGGGAGACAGAGACCCAGAGAGAGAGAGGTCAACAGAAATCCAGAGAAAGGGGGACAGGGAGACCCAGAGTGGGCAACAGAGAACCAGAGATGGGGACAGAGTCACACAGAGAGGTAGACAGATTGAGGAAGTAGAGATCCAGGGTGGGGGGTTCGTGGCCCAGCCAGGGGGGTGGATAGAAGCCCTGGGTGGGGAAGAGATTCGTAGAGAGAGGGGAACAGAGATTTAGCTGAGGGCAGGCAAGAAGGATAGGGTGTCAGGCCTCTCCTCTGGCTACTGCAATCTTCCCCCTCCCTCTCCTCTCCTCCTGATGGTCCCCCCTCCCCATCTTGTGCTATGAGAACCTCCTCTTCGTCTCCTTCTGGTTCATCTTCCCTTTTTTTTGGTCCCTGGCTGGCCTGCCTGTTGTTTCCGTGTCCAGAAATCTTCATTTTGTTTGGAGATATTCACATCCCTTTTCTTCATTCTCTGGATTTCCGCTTCCCTCTTGGCCTGAGACCCTCATGTTCTCCTCCTCTGGGTGTGAGGGGTTTGGTTTTGTTTTATTTTGTTTGCGCCTCTTCCTTTGGATTTGGGGACCACCACTTCCTGTTCCTTTTTTTTTTTGTACCCAGAAGCCTCCCTCTCCTTTCTCTCCAGGTCTAAAAAAAATCTTCACTTCTGGTCTTTTCTGGACCTCGCTGTCCTGTCTCTCTATCCTGTCCAAGCTAGGGAATGTTCGCTGCCTATTCCCTCGGGATCTGAAATTCTCATTTCCTGTTGCCTGCGTATCCGGAAACCTTGACTTCCGGCGCTTTCTTGACCTAGAAACCCTCATGCTGTGTACTGTCTTGTATTCTGGGTATAGGAGCCCCTTTCCCCCTCAAGGCCTGGCCCTCTCTCCTTCCTGTTCCATATTCATCCTTGCTCCCCCTTCCTCCCATTTTTCAGCTCAGGGGGGTGGAGCTGTAGGGATTGAGAGGGCAGGAAGGTGAGAACTCAGGCCTCACTTCCTAAGTCATGTTTTCTTTCCTCCTTTGGCACCCTCCCCCACCCCCACGGGCAGGCCTTGAATGTGGTAAGTGCCCCTGCCCACCCTACCCCTCTGCTCCTTTCCCCCAGACATTCCTGAGGGGGCCAGGCGGGGCAGAGGGCTGTAGGAAGAAGGATTTGTGCCCTCCCCCAATCGCCTTGACTCCCCAACTCCGCCTCTCCCCTTGCTTGCCCTTCCCCGGCATTGACCTGCCCCTGCTGTGTCGACTGGGACTCCCCATTAATGTGGCCCCCCAACTTCTCCTCCAGGACCAGGTTTCCAAGGACAAGGCTTTCCAGACAATGGCCACCATGTCCTCAGCCCAGCTCATCTCAGCACCTTCCTTGCAGGCCAAACTGGGTCCTGCTGGTCCTCAGGTGGCTTAGGGATTGTGGGAGGGGTGGGGCTGCGGTTTCAAAAGGGGACCGACCGACTGACTGACCCCCTTCTTTTGTCTCTTTTTCAGGCCTCTGAGCTTTTCCAGTTTTGGTCAGGGGGCTCTGGGTCCCCCTGGAATGTTCCAGAGTGAGTACTTTCTGTTCTGGGCCAGCATCCCCCAGGCCTGTTTCCTCCACACACACCTTTCTTACCCCACCTTCCAGCTCCCAACTCCTTTGTGAGCACGGATTCTGCAGCTAGCCTCCCAGAGAGGAGGCTCTGTGATGGTCTGGAGAATAGGATGAGGCCTGAGCTGGCACAGCGAAGGGGGACAGGACAGACAGAGTCAGGAGGAGGGGTGGGGCTGGGGCCTCATGGGCTGGGAGCCAAGGGGCAGAGGAAAGGACCGTGCCTGGGGTCTTGCTGGTGACTGGGGTTGGTGGCACAGTCCGGAGATATGTGTCCTGGGGCAGGGGCAGGTTTGGGGAAGAAAGGAGCTCAGGGTGGGACTGGATGAATGTGTGGGGCCAGGAGGGTGTCCACGGGGATAATGGCATCCCTCTGGGCCCCAGAGGCTCATGGGTAGGCTTGTTCCCATCCCACAGAGGTGTTCTTGGACCTGAGGGGAGAGCAGGAGTCTTCTCTCAGAGTCGAAAGGAAGAAAATAGGTCCCCAAAGTACATGGGAATGTCTGTTTTAGCCCTGAGAGAGCCCTAAGGGTGACGGAATGTGTTTCCAGCCTAGCAGAATAGAAACAGGCCCCACAGACTCATGGGAAGTGCAGTTTTCAGCCCAGAGAGGAGCCAGTGGATCATGGCCTCAGGACAGTGACGAGTGGTGTTGAGGGTGTTGCCAGAGCGAGCGAAGTGCCATGCTGTGGCATCTGGGCTCCACGGAGAGAAGAAAGTTCCCTGGGGGGGGTGCTGGGACCCTGGAAAAGATCAGGACAGGTCCCCTGGGCTGAAGGAACTGCAGGTTTGCGGGAAGGGGGCTGAGCTGGAAGGAGGGGTGGGTCGGCACTGGGGTCCCACCGTTAGGGGAGCTGATAGTCAACGGGGAGACAAATGTCAACGAACTCATCACCTGCCTAAACACAGAATCGAAGAGTATGTGATACGGTGCAGAGGACTGCAACAGGTTTTGGGTTGAGGAAGAGAGTTCTGGGGGTTTCTCTGAGGAGATAACGGCAGAGGAGGGATCTCTGAGGAGATCTCTGAGGCAGAGTAGGACTTAACCAGGTGAAGAAGGGGGGTTGGGAATATTTTAGGCAGTGAAAACAGCATGTGCCAAGATCCTGAGGTCTGGTGAGTTCCAGGAAATGAGAGAAGGTATTAAGCCACCGGCCAGTCAGATGTTTATTGAGCACCTGTTAAGTGCCTGGTCCTCCGTTTAGATTGGGACACAGCATTACATAAGTGAGACAGAATCCCTGCCTTCATGGAGCTGACGTGTTTGGAGAGGGGAGGAGACCGACAGTAAACACGTAAACAAATAAGCATTCATGCGAAAGGAATAAGTGCAGGAAGTAAAGCAAGGTGTATGTGCTCTATTTAGACAGGTGTCAAGAAGGGCCACTCTGAAGGGGTGGCATGTGGCCAGCAGCCCTGATGACAAGAGATGAAGTCAGTGGGTAGGGTACTGGAGTTGAGATTTCAGAATTGGGATGATGAGTACTGGGCCAAGGGCCCTGGGAGTCGAGATCTGAAGGTCCCTGGAGTTTGTGTCTTTCTGATTCGGGTCTTTTGACTTTTTAAATTATTTATTAAAAAAATTTTTTAATGTTTATTTTTGAGAGAGAGAGAGAGAGAGACAGAGGGTGGGCGGGGGAGGGGCAGAGAGCGAGGGAGACACAGAATCT